GGATCATGTGGAGGAAACTGTGAAGAACTTGTTATGGCAAGATCTTCTTGTAAGTATGTGTATTTAGTTGTTTAAATTGTTTATACATTATTATCAATTGATTAACTAAAACTTGTTTGCTACTCGTAGGAACACTTTGATTTAGTTAATTCGAGGATGTGAGGAGGAAGATAATGACGACCATAGCAAAAATGTGGAGACAGTTCAAGTCCACATTGACCACTAAATGGGTGTATGCTGAGGACAAAGTTAGCAAGGGATTAACCCCTTGCCAAAGATATGGCATAGATGAGGACACTTGGAAGAAGTTTGTACATAGTAGGACTGGTTCGAGTGGGAGGTAATAGCTTATGGCTTAATTGACTTGAATATTTCATAATGAGTTGTGTATCTAATATTGTGTTCAATTATGTTGCAGGAAAGAAGACAAAAAGCAAAAGACATTCAGAGGAAGAATGTCGCCCCCACCTTCCGTCTCGTGGGGGTACGACTTATTGACTAAGAAGATGATGGAGGAGAAGAGTAGACTTCAACGATCGGAGTTAGCCTCTTCCGGTTTAAGCGAAGAGCAGATTCCTCCACCATCTCCTCCAAAACGTCACCGAAGTGGAAGAGGGCGCGTACAAAGCCTTCCGGTGATATGACGTCGCTGGAAGCCCGACAAATTGCTGCTCGGATTGTAAGTAAAAGAAGTTAATTTACTTTGAATTAGTTATATGTAACATGTTCATTAATAAAATTAACTTTTATAATGTAGGATGCCTTGGAGGAGCAAGTGTACACAGGGAACTTTCATCCCTTCGGTCGTCGGGATATCTTGACCACTCGCTATTGGACGACCGGAACATCCAGGTCGTGTTCGAGCTGTTGGCCAAGGTGTGGGTGTCCGACGGTATTTTGGACCACCATCACGGGATATCCGCACCTCCACATCCCCGAGCCAAGAAGATATTGTTGCCCCGGAGATGGCTCTCACGGAGAAATTGACACCAGCCATCGGGGCAAAATTGGAGGAAGAGTTGACTCTCGCCATCGGCGCACGACTTGAGGAGATCATCACCGCACGTGTGCGGGAGCAGCTTCTGCGTATGACCTCCATGGGTACTTCATTTGCCGATGCTCATCGTCCATCGGGTGCATTTTCAACCACAAATTGGTACTTGACTTGTGTTTCTAAAATCTTAGTCCTTATTGGAATTTACTCGTATTTGTAGGTCCAAGAGTTAGCACAAAGGGCAGTTGTGCTGAAGCCACTATCGAGGTCATACACTGAGGTGGCATCTATTCATCCCGAATCCACAAAGGATGATCGATATGGCTTGTGGGTTGAGGTAGATGAAGGTCTAAGACTAGTGGCCCATGGATCAGTTCATGAAGGGGCTTCAACCATCCACAATGTGCCTTTGGATCCTAACTTGGTCAAAGTAGTGGTTGAAAAGGTGGTTGACGCTGCGGCTAGTGTCCCTATCCCCACCGATGAGGTGCGGACAGTGGGTCAAGCCCTTCGGACCTTCATTACTTGGCCCCGACATTTAGTTAAGTCAATCATGGCAAAGGTATGTATATGTATGGTTATAATACATCTAACACATAAAAAAATTGATTTATTGTTTATGATTATATTTTATAAAATATGTAGGATGTTCGGCAGCCAAAAGACTTGGGTAAAGCTATTGCCACTCCTTCTGCATCTAAGGAGAAGACACCAGTTGTGGAGACTTCTCCAAATCCAATTTTCGATCTCTTGTCTCTTTCCCCACAATTATATATGCAGTCATTCCAAGTTCCATGGGATTGTACATTATTTGGGATGGCTTCTAGTAATATCCCCCTATACATTTCCCACATTGATGCCCTGGAGATTGAGATGGGCAATCAATGTCTAAATATAGCTGTTTTACAATTTTGGACATTGTAAGTTCATATCTTTCATGACTCTTTTCATTTTAGTAAATATATAAGCTATAAGTTCACTTAAATTGGCATATTTTAGGATGATGCACGAAATGATAGTGGAGCAGGGCATTGGTCATGTGTATGGATTCTTCGAGCCTCAATGCATACAAAAGTCCGGGAATAAGCGTGATCAAATTCTCGTTACATCCGAATTGGATGACTTGTTTCTAAAAGAGATATTTACCTTGGAGCATACCATCATTCGTAAGTTATCCCAGCCTCTTCCGGTTTTACACAAGTTTTTTTAATAGATTCTAATCATGTGTATATACGTAAACCACTGGCAGCTATTAGTTATTTGTCCAAAGCGAGAATCTTGTGTGTTGGTTCTGCTCATTGGGAAGAAAACCTGGACATGGAGCTAAAAAATATTGTAAACGAGTAAGTATTTATTATATTATGTCTAAACATCTTGATTATTCTATTTCTAATCCCCTTATTTTCAATATATAGTGCTTTAAAGGTTTGTAGTACATTAGATGGAAAACACACAAGTAAAAGCACAGACTCCAAATTGGAATTTTATCAAAGTAAGTAGCCTTTATATATATTATACTATCTATTAATTTATGTTCAAATTTAATAGTTATTTTTAACATATTTACTCATTTTTAGTGTAACAAACAAAATGGAGGCTACGAGTGCGGCTACTATGTAATGTATTGGATGTGGCTCATCATTTTTGGTTGCATTCAGGATAGTTGGGACGAGGTAAGTTGACATTTGCTATTATATTCAATTCCTTTATTTTTATTGCTTAGGGTTTACCATTCTATTATTGTGAACTTCTTACGGGCATTTAAAGATATAGAACCTTTGCCTATGGATACTATAGACATGGTTCGAAACAAATGGGCAGAAAAGTTTGTACAAGTAGTTAGGAATAATAGGATTGATTGATCATTTTTGTGTATTATGTACATAATGTGGTTGGACTGAGATTTTTGTGCATTGTGTAAATATATAGTGATTATGTGAAAAGACCTGGCTGAGATTTTTGTACATTGTGTATATATTGTGTAAATCTGGCTGGACTGAGATTTATATAGCAGGTCGTGTATGGTAGCACAAAAACAGACCAAAATTAAAAAAAAAAGGGATATTCTACGTCGGTTATTGCATTAACCGACGTTGTAACGTCAGTCGCTTGAGCGAAACGTTGGTCGCTTGAGCGAAACGTTGGTCGCTTGAGCGAAACAGCACCCGAGAGAACCCTTTGTTTGAAGGCTTCGTCGCTCAAACGAGTACACCGGTCGCTTGAGCGAGAAAGGACTTTCAACGTCGGTTAGTTCAATAACCGACGTAGAATTTACTCATTTCTATGTCGGATTTGTATTAACCGACGTTGTAATGTCGGTCGCTTGAGCGAAACGTGGGTCGCTTGAGCGAAACAGCACCCGAGAGTCCCCTTTGTTTGAAGGCTTCGTCGCTCAAGCGAGTACACCGGTCGCTTGAGCGAGTTCAACGTCGGTTAGTTCAAGAACCGACGTAGAATTTAGTCACTTTCAACGTCGGGTATGATGAACCGACGTAGAAGCCTTTGACATTCAACGACGCCTGATTCAACGACGTCATTGGAACCGACGTTGAAAGCCTTCTACACCCGACGTTGAATGCTCATTCTGCAATAGTGTATATTGATGTATTATTATGAAATAGTAAATTAATAGTATACACAGTATAATAGTTAAAATAATAAGTAATATAGTATAATATATAATAATAATAATAATAATAATAATAATAATAATAATAATAATAATAAATTTTCTATCATTGTCAATAGATTGTTTAATAAAGATTAAAAATAATAAATGTTTACCTTAAACAATAAAAAAATTAATGTCTTGAGAATAAATGATAAAAGTAAAACAATTAAATCATATCTTATATATAAAAATTAAAGAAAATTTAATATATTATAAAAATATAATAAATATAAATATAAACAACTTTAAGCTATAAATTAGCATTTTTAAAAATGTAGTAACATTTTAAAAATTAAGAAGCTAACAAAATAATTTTGTTTAACAAACATTACAATAAAGTTACACAAACTTTCCAACTAATAGAAAATATTAAATCACGTGACAAAAATGGATTATTTTCGATAAAATCGACTATTATGCAGTATTATGTATAATACAAATATAAAAATATTTAAACATAATATTAAAAATAAAATAAAAATTATTTTTCACATGATAAATATTACTAGTGTATTTATTATTTAAAATGGTTCATTCCATTAATAATGATCACTGTATAACTATAAGAATAACAATTTTCTGACGGAAACACAATTGTCTTAAATTACCATAATCACCTCTAATAAAAATATAAAATAAAAAAGCATTAGTAACTTTTTACACTACACTATTTTTTAACAATAAAGTAAGTATAAACTTAAGAGGATTGATTTATTGACACCCACTATTCTTTTATATATCTAATCTACAATTTTCTATAATAATAATAATAATAATAATAATATAAATTTAAAAGGTTTTGTTAATATTATATTATTAAAATTGAAAATATTTATCAGGTGAGAGTATCAACTTATTATTTTCCAAAAAATAATTATTTTAACATTTTATCCTGAAATTAAAAAGTACTTTTTGAGACTACTAGTTAAGGGGAGGGACAAGGTGTATATTCAAATGCAGCGTGTACACGATGGCAACTGGTCTTAAATAAAAGTGGGTAGAGTCTAGACTTTGGAATCTAAGGAAGGCTTTTGTCAAGGAGGCAAGGCAAATAAGAATTTGGTGAGCATAGAAAAATAAGTGAAAACCCAATTTCATTGCACGCTTCTCAAGGGTAGGATTGTAGGAAGGAAGGTTCCAGGTGTATCTGTCACGCACTTTCAGCCCCCATTCGTCCAACTACATAAGCCACCCCAACCCTCCATTTTTCTCACGTCATTTCTCTCTCAAAACCTTTTACCCCAATATTTCTCACACATCCCACCTCAACTCCACTCCTAAACCCATTCCATAAACCTTTCTTTTCCCCACTCATCATATCCCCCATTCATCATCATGTGTGGCGGTGCCATCATCGCTGACTTCATACCCCGCCGTGGCCCCCGTCGCCTCGCCGCCTCCGAGCTCTGGCCAAATTCCTTCGGAAAGGACGATGACTTCGGCTTTGATTATTCCCATATCGCTAATCGACAACCCTCCACTCCCAAAACGGGCCAACCTCCCAAAGGTTAGTGATCTTCAATGTTCACTCTTTTTTTTTTTTTTCTATTAATTTTGTACTCATGCTAAGATTTTTTTTTTTTCTATTGGGATGTTCTACGAACAGTTGGTGAGCAAGTTGAGACTAAGCCAGTGAAAAGGCAGAGGAAGAATCTCTACAGAGGGATTCGGCAGCGTCCTTGGGGAAAATGGGCTGCGGAGATTCGCGATCCTAGAAAAGGAGTTCGTGTCTGGCTGGGCACCTTCAACACTGCGGAAGAAGCTGCAAGGGCCTATGATCGTGAAGCTCGAAAAATCCGCGGCAAAAAAGCTAAGGTGAATTTCCCTAACGAGGACGATGAATATTCCATTCAAGCTCGTAATCCAACTCCACCCCTTCCTTTCGCACCCCAAAACCCTTCCTTGTATCAAGAACAGTCCCGTTGTGATCTCAATAATGCCCCTAGAAATCTCAACTTCGAGTTTGGTTATGATCTGAACCATGCTGGGCCATTTTCGTCCCACGTGGACTCTGTCAATGCTGACTCGGTTGTTGTGTCCGGCGACGAAAATTCAGGGTTAGCGTCGGGTTCAGAGGGTGCTTATTCGACGAGCGAGTTCATGGGATCTTGTCAGAATGTGAACGGTTATTTTAGTGGGACAGTGATGGAGAAGGAGAAACAGATAGAGGCGATTGAAACTCAAGAGGAAAAGAACAAAGTGCAGGAGCTTTCTGAGGAACTGATGGCATACGAAAATTACATGAAGTTTTATCAGATTCCGTACTATGATGGACAATCTACGCCACCGAATAATGTTCAGGAAAGTGTTGTCGGGGATCTCTGGAGTTTCGATTGACGAGGAATCAAGGGTTTTCCTTTCATGCATGAGTTTGTTTCTTCGTCAACACTGTCAAAAGTTTTCTCCCGTTCTGCTGACTAAACTAACATCTCTGCGTTTTGGCAGGGATGATGGACAGAAGTGTAAATTGGTTGCTTCGGTTGAAATGGTCTCATGAGTTTCAACTTCTTTTACCATCTTATCATTAATTTATTTCTTTCTTTCTAGAATTTAGGTTCTCTTCTACTTTTGTTGAATTGTAATTTTTCCTTTCATGTTAAACTGTGATTTCTTCTGATAAATTTTACAGTGTTTGAATTTCGATTATTTGTTTTTCGGCTATTTTTTATCTTTTTTTGCTTAGTTAATTTAACTTGTCTTGCTTTTTCCATACTGTAACAATAAAAAGAAAAAAAAAGTATTTTTTTATAGCTTTAAATTATTTATATTCATGAATAAAAATATTAAGTAACTAAAATTAACAAGATGACTTATATTTTGATTTTGTTATATTAAAAATATTTATAAAAGCTTATCCAAACAGGAGTTGTAGGAGGGAATCTTGGTTCCTTGGAGAAGTGTCAAGGGCGGGTTATGCCTTAACATGGAAACTACTTACATTGACGGCTAATTTTGGTTATGCGGCGAAAACACATGTGGACCAGACCAGCAGTCATCTTGACAAAGTTTGAAAAGTTGACAAAATTTGCAAACGTTGAAATTGGAATTATTAGTTTTGGATTAAGATGGAAGGTATTAAGTTTATAATGATAAATTAGTTTGGTGTTGTTTGATGATAAATGGAGTGAAAGACATTGTCCTTTAGTTAAAAAAAAGGTTAATGATATTAATTGGAGATTGGGTGGGGGGATGTTAACAATACTCCATCCTTTGGATGATTGAGGTGTTGGAATGCAAAAGCAAAGCAGTTAATAGACGCATGTGGTAAAAATAATAAAATGAATCCAGTGGCGCAACTGGTTTTGGGAAGTTAGAAAATTTGTTGGAAAGAAGGAAGGAAATGAAGAAAACAACAGACGCGGGCACACAGTGGGCGCCTATGGATTTGGGTTTAAAAACTTGTACTTGTGATTGCTTAGTTGTAATTTAGTAGTACCACTACAGTATCCATGCTCATCCTACCAGGTAAGCACAACTCAGCTTCTATCTACAGTACAATCCCATTCTAAACTAAAAATAAATAATGTGTTTTTAATCTTTACATTTTATAAAAAATTATATGATTTCAGGATACTTGTTTTAACTTTATAAAATATTTATGGAGTTTCTAATCCTATATTTAGTCCAAAAATAAAGAGAAGCGGAATGCAAATGAAATTGTTTAAATTAAAAAATATATAAATGAATGAAAAGTTTTTAAAAATAGTTATTTTTAATAATTTTATTTATTATTATTATAATATAAAAAAATTAAAAGTTTTTCTTCAAAAATATAACATAATTATTATATCCAAATAAATATATAAAATGATTATGTTATAAATCTTTACCGTCAAGAAACTGATGTATATATGTTTTGAAATTTATGCCTATTGTATAGTGAAAAAATAGTTTTTTTTTTATTAAATTGGTGTAAATCAGTAATATAATTATTAAAGTAATGTAAATTTTGAAAATTTTATGAAAATGGAGTAGTAGTGTTAGGTAAGATGATTTAAAATATATATATATATATATATATATATATATATATATATATATATATATATATTATCTAATGAGCTTCTCGAATAATTTATTTTTTATGAAAAAATCGTTATATAATATAATTTTGAGTTTTTTTAGTGTTAAAGTTGTGCTATAGAGCACGTGTTTTCTATTTTTTTCTTTTCATAAAATTGTGTTACGGTCACAATTTTAATAATTTTTATTTTTATATTTTAATTAAATTATAAAATTATGTTATATATTTATCATATTTTAACATATAAAATTCAGAAGTAAAAAGATTACAAATTTAAAAATAGTTAAAATAAAAATAAATACTTTAATATTAATAAAAATGAATGAAACAATTATAAAATAATGTAATATAAGACTAAATTAAAAAAAAAAAGTGTTAGGAGCCTATTTCACAATGTGTTTCATTTTATCTAGATCTTTCATTTCGTCAAAGAACATGTCTCTTTTGAATATTTGGATCACTATTATTATCTTGTTCTTCCTAATGATAAGCTTGTAGTTGTGTTATGGAAGAGGTGATAAAAATATTTCATCCAGAAGTCATCATATTAAATGCGTAATGGGACATGTCCTTTAAAGTTGGTTCCCTCCCTCATATATATTTTGAAGATGATCAACATAACGTTAAGATGGAATATACTGAAAACTAAATGGACAAGCTTGTTAATAACTTGAAGGACCAACTTATCGATAGATCATACTAATGAAAAAAAATGTAAAATTAATATTTGTGGTAAAAGTATACTCAATGTAAATAAATAATATATCATACTTACTTCATCTTTTGTACTTTGTCTTTGATGAGTGGAAATACGTTAAATGGTGTATTAAATATCATTGCATATATGATATATTTTCACACAAGTGTCTATTTTTGTAAAAACTATTGATATTCAATTAGTTGATTATGTCGGTCGTTCCACAACGTAATCCACCATTGATGATAATGTGACCAAAATGTGTTTGTGTTGTCCCTCATATATACTTTATGAAGTTCATTAGATCATGAGGAATATTTTGATGTAGACCAAACTGTCTCATAACACAATCAGTCCAATAAAACTCCATAGTTGTAAAATAAATAAGAGGTATGATAAAACGTGAAAGAGGAAAAACATCATTTATTAGTCGTTGTAAGCACTTTTACGATACAAAATCTATATAAACTACATAATCAAGTAAAAATATATTATTTAAACATAAAATATGTGTGCATGAATAATAAATATATTGTCGTAATACCTTATTTGGTTGTAATTGATCTAATGTGTATCGTATTATATGTACAATCTATGCATAGGTATTTAACCTTTGACTAGATCGAGACCAGTTAAAATAAAGAATAATTTTATAATTTCATACCTATTCTATCGTAAAAAAAAAGGTAAATGTAAGTTTATATCTTTTTGCTAAGGGAAAATCAAGTCCTGCATCAACCTTTTGATCAATTAAATCTTCAATAGGTGGACAAAGACATGTAATTCAATCTAACGCCAAACATTGAAGAAGTAACATACAACTTATAATATTTCTTGACGAGAGTCAACTCCATGGTCTAAAAAGCTTGATAAAGACAAACAAACCCCAATTATAGTTAGGCACAATAATTAGGTCTTCCAAGAATAAAAGATACATTAAATAAACTCTAGAAAGCGATATACCTGACATCATCAAGAAGTTGTTGAAAAGGTACATTTAATCAAGAAAGTTTAATCGAATTTTATTTGATTACTTCTTTTGGTAAAAGTGACCCTAATAAAGGTTTACAAAAACGTGTAAGTTCATTACTGATGAGACTAGTAACACACTCCATCAATTGAAAGATCAAGTTGTAGAGCGATATCTTTTAATGTTAAAGTCGTTTCTCCAATGGTAAGGTAAAAGCTGTGTTTCCTTCCATATAACTTTTGTAACATATTTGTTTTTGCAACCATTCCAAAGACAAGTTAAAAGAAAGATGTTAGTTGACCATCATTTCTAAAAAATATATATAATTATTAGTATAAAATATTTGTATAATGAACATAATAACTAACATTATAATAAATAATATTAAACACTAAATAATAAAATAAACATAATAAATAACATAACATAATAAAGGCTAAGAGGGGAACCATCCCTCAAAAGCTAGCTCAAGAGGTTGGAGAACCTTCCACCTTATAAGGCCTCCTTGGTAAGGAGACCTCCCCAATGTGAGACTTGTTACAATACCACCTCGTTCGAAAGCCAGCGTCCTCGATGGCTGCACTCCCCGACACTTCACTCACTGACACTTCACTCGGTCTTCTTACCGGTCAGAACCCTCTGGTGGTCAGAACCCTCCGTGGGTAGCCCTTCTCGAGTTGACTGACTCTCAATGAAAGCACTAATGTAACAACCATAAGGCTAAGAGGGGAACCATCCCTCAAAAGCTAGCTCAAGAGGTTGGAGAAACTCCCACCTTATAAGGCCTCCCTAGTAAGGAGACCTCCCCAATGTGGGACTTGTTACAATACCATCTTGTTCGAAAGCCAGCGTCCTCGATGGTTGCACTCCCTGGTACTTCACTCACCGGCACTTCACTCGGCCTTCTTTCCGGTTAGAACCCTCCGGCGGGCTAGCTCAAGAGGTTGGAGAACCTCCCACCTTATAAGGCCTCCTGGTAAGGAGACCTCCCCAATGTGGGACTTGTTACAATACCACCCCATTCGAAAGCCAGCATTCTCGATGACTGCACTCCCTGGTATTTCACTCATCGACACTTCACTCGGCCTTCTTACTGGTCAGAACCCTCTGGCGGTCAAAACCCTCCGTGGGTAGCCCTTCTCAAGTTGGCTGGCTCTCAATGAAAGCACTAATGTAACAACCATAAGGCTAAGGAGGGGAACCATCCCTCAAAAGCTAGTTCAAGAGGTTGGAGAACCTCCCACCTTATAAGGCCTCCCTGGTAAGGAGACCTCCCCAATGTGGGACTTGTTACAAATAGCCAGTGAATTTGCTTCACATGACACAATTTCATAGTGAAGTTGTTTGAGCTAGTACGATTTCTATTGTTAGTGTATGCAAAAGTCGTTTGAGATGACACAACTTTAGTATAAAACTATTTAAGGTAGCACAACTTCAATATAGGGTCGCCCTATGTGGCATAACTTCAATTTCTTGTCACTTGTGCCCCATCCCCAGATATGCTACATAACATTGAGGCATGATAATGGTTTAGGGAGACACGAGTTTGTAAAAATGAAAAGACAAGGCACACATTCTTATTGTAAAAAAATTTAAATTCACTATTGTTCATTGTTTATAAATTACCAATGTTTGTCAATATGTTG